GATGGCAGATAATGTGAGCCACCCCTTCTAAAAATTTGACATTCGCTACAATAAAGTAAAATAAAATTGAGAATTTTAGAAAAAGAAACTCCTCCCCACAAGAAAAGTACTTCGGTTTTGTTTCAATTTTTTTCTACATGTTACGACTTTTAATTTATTAAAAAAATTTAGAACTAAAATGCGAAAAGAGAAGAGCAGCACATCATAAAAAAACATAACAAGTGTTTAGAAAACCTAAATAAGCACCACTGTTTTGCATCCTGAAAAATGCATTCTACACTGAGACCAATAGNTGACTGTGGGTGGAATGAAGGTGTTAAAACCTTCATACCACCCACAGAGTTTACCCCACAGTTATTTGACTCCTCAAAAAATAGCCATCTCCTTTTACACCATGGAAAAATGACCTTTTGCTTCTTTAAATTGCCTTAATCATTTTTATGACCCTGGACTCTTTTGTGCTTTTATAAAATGTCAGATATTTACAGTACCATCTATATGTCCCTTAAGTTGTCTTAAACTAGCAGCAATTTAGATGTTCTAGGAAAACAGATGCTTTTAAGGGATCCAAGGGGATGACTCTTGTTGACATTTACTTAGGTCATTTTGTCAAGAGATTTTTTCTGAGACAAACGTAAAAGTTCCAGTTAAATTCCAGTTTTTAACTCATTTAATTGGGTCATTTAAATTAACCATTTTTAATTCAGTTATAAATTTTCTGTTAACTTTTATTTTGTTCAATTTTTGAAATTAAAATTTAACTTTAATTAAGAGTTATTAAAATTATTTGCAACTTCCTTTTTTTCAAACATACATCATGATAGGGTGATCGGTTAACGAACATAATTCGTTCCAAGACTATATCCGAATCGTTCGTTAACCGATCATCGATTCACCATAGACTTCTATGTGAAATCGATTAATTCGTCTTGCATATTAATCAGTCCTTTTCATTTTTTGCTGATGGGGCGTTGAAGAACATGTCCAATGTCGATTGCTTTCCTCTCTTTTTCAGGATTTTCCGGAAGTAATTAATAGCATTATCGTTGTAAAGATCCCCAACCCTACTGACATCAGCTTGGTTTGGGTGCCATTCTAAGACCATTGCTTTGACATCCTCCCACTTTTTCAAAAGATCTTTAATGGCAGATGTCGGCATTGGTCCTCTTTCGTCTTCCTCTTGTTCAGAAGGAGACACATTTCGCAGTGTTTCTTGGTGTTCTTCATTCAAAATTTGTTGGAGTTCTTCTGTCGTCAGTTCATCTTCATGTCCCATTATGAGCTCTTCTATGTCATCCTCGTTCACCTCCAATTCCAGATCTCTAGCAGTTGTCAAAATTTCGTCCATAATTTCAGGGGTGTCTCCCTGATCACCTCCATCTCCTTGAACGAAGGATGGACACAGCTTCCGCCAAGCAGAAATCAGCTGTTGCTGTGTGACTTCTGACCACGCTTTTTGAATGATTCGAATAGCTTCAAGAATGTCAAATTTTTCTTTCCAAAACTTTTTTTAAGTCATTGTTGAGGAGAATTGACTTGCTTCAAAACACCGACGAAACAGCGCGCGAGTGTACAATTTCTTGAAAGCTGCAATAACCTCCTGATCCATCGGCTGAATCAGCGAAGTCGTATTCAGAGGTAAAAACTGAACTGTCAGCCAGGGAATGTCTGTCAACAAATTATCTTCAAGATCCTTTGGGTGTCCTGGTGCATTGTCCAATAGCAGCAGTGCTTTCAACGGCAAGTCATTGGTATCAAGGTAGTCTTTGATGCTCGGAGCACAAACTTTAAATAGCCATTCTTTGAAAAGATACTGCGTGACCCATGCCCTCTGATTCGATCTCCACATTACTGGCAGTTTGCTCTTAGTTATGGAATTTTTTTTAATGCTCTGGGATTCTCAGAGTGGTAAACGAGAAGTGGTTTAAGCTTCATATCACCACTAGCGTTAGCTCCCAAAAGTAACGTCAATCGATCTTTCATAGGTTTATGCCCAGGAGCACTTTTCTCATCTTTCGTGATGTAGGTACCGTTCGGCATGCGCTTCCAAAACAAACCAGTTTCATCACAATTAAATATTTGTTGTGGACGATACCCTTCTGTTTCAATGAATTCTTGAAATTTGAGACAGTACTTCTCAGCTGCTTCTTTATCTGCACTAGCAGACTCACCATGCATTAATACATGTTTAATTCCAAACCTTCTTTTAAACTTTGTAAACCAGCC